TAAAGCTTAAGCTTTCAGGAGCATGACTGAAAAAAGGAATAAAAGACAGGGTCATGGTTAAGGGGTTACTGGAAGCCTAGCTCTTATTTCTCCCAGGATAAAATACCCGAGATTATTTAAAGGAAGAGAAAAAAAGAGCTAATTTTAAAAAAATGCAAAATCTAGAGTAGGTATTTGAGGATGCTATCCAATGTATTCTTGTCCCAGATTCGCTGACGAATGAAAAGTAACTACTATAAATGTTGTCTAATGGCTATAAGAACTGCAATCTGGCCTGGCCGGTTTGGCTCTGTGGATAGAGTGTACACCTGCGAACTGAGGGTCCCGGTTTTGATTCCCATCAAGGGCACATGCCCCGGGTTGCGGGCTCCATCCCCAGTAGGTGGCGTGCAGGAGGCAGCTGATCAATGATTCGCTCATCACTGATGTTCTATCTCTCTCTCCCTCTCCCTTCCTCTTTGAAATCATTAAAAAACTATATTTTTTAAAAAAAACCCTGCAATCAATCAATAAAAAAATATATATTTTTTTAAAAAACCCTGCAATATGTATCAGCTGGGTTTTCCTGGACAATTATGGATTCACTCACATTTTCAGAGAGCCCTCTGCATCTAAGAAAAGGTTTGGCTTAGGCTGCACAGGCCTAATTCTTGAAAAACCAGGGGACAAAGAGTTCACTTCTTTTCCTCTTCACCCAGATCCTGGAAGCCAGCCCTCGCAGGATTCTGTAGGTGGACCTCACCTCTCATCTTCTTCGACAAACAGTCGGTATTCCCGTCCTCTACCTGTCCGAACCCAAACCCATCCTTTTGCTTTTTGCCTCAGGACTTCTAAAACCTGTTTTCTGATCTGGGGCACCTGTGACACCGTGCTAAAACTTTGAACCCAACATCTCCCTCTTATTTGACATCCCCAAACTTATTTTTCTTCCTGTATTTTAATGTATATGACAAAGTCTTTGACAAAGAGATGTGATATTGGAAAATGCCTGCTTCATTCGTTTGTCTTTTCCCCCAAATCCCTCCAAACATGCAAATATTTATAATACTACCTTCCTCCCAACAAAATTAGAATGAAATTATTGCTCAGATGCAAGAAACAGAAATGTTTTACCTTTCAGGCTAACTGCTGTCTTAGAGAGTATGCCTATTAAACACCAGACTTCCCATGTGTCTAGGATTGGCAAACTGCTGTCAAAATCTCAAATCCAATGTATGATTTAGAATAAATTCCGCTAATTAAAATTCATGTCTGAGTTGCTATCGGGATCACAGAAATCATCAGAAAGATGGCCCATACCTAACCAGATGGACAGTAAGAATCCTAAGGCAAGGCAAATGTGCCGTTCTATTTTTATGTTCTCCCATAAGTAAGCATATTTAGCATTACTCATGAGAATGAAATTTAAATAGGATGTTATTTACCAATGTTACCGCAAGAAATTTAATTAAGATAAAAAAAAATAGAATTTCAATTGATCCAAGCTTTACTTATCCCCGGGATTTGAGGCTGTGCTGTTTAATGTTTAGGTTGTCTAGATCCGTGGGAGGGAAAACAAAACAAAACGTGATTCTCGCCCTAATCGGTTTGGCTCAGTGGATAGAGCCTCGGCCTGCAGACTAAAGGGTCCCGGGTTCGATTCCGGTCAAGGTTAGGTACCTTGGCTGCAGGCTCCTCCCCCGAGACCAGGAGGCAACCAATAGCTGTGTTCCTCTCCATCATGTTTCTCTCTGTCTTTTCCTCTCTCTCCCACTCTCCCTAAAAGTCAACGGGAAGAAATCCTCGGGGGGAGAATGAACAAAACCAACCAAGTGCCAGCGAAGAGCTAGAATCTGCTACTAGATGATGACACGAAGGCGTGTCCTCGGGGCCAGCAACGCCAATGAGCCAGCTCCAGCACGAGCAACAATTTCACGTTCTTGCCCGATGAAATACAAGCGCACTGGCTTTCAGATCTGTGCCCCAACATTAGTTTATTTACCACAAATAAAACCACACCGAGCTCTTCTGGCTGCAGGCGGCTACCTGGGAAAGGACTCACCAGATCGGGGGTGCGCTGCCCCAGGAGGTGAGACAGAGGAAGGTAAGGACTGGAAACCACCGCGATGGTCACTCCCCCGCAAAGCCCAACGGAACCGGTCTCCCAAGGGCGCACCGTGGACGTCCAGCACGTAGGAAACGACTGGCCGTGAAGGGTAAGGGGCTTCCGATCTGGCGAAAGCGCCCGGACCTGGAACCGCAGACCGAGGACACCGCGGCTCGACAGCCTCCCTCCTTTCCGGCGCCCAAACCGGCAGCTCACCCGCCCAGCGCGGTGTCGCCTCAGCTCGGGCCGAGCTCAGCGGGCGAAACGCGCAGGAACCCCACCTCCGGGCCCCCACGCGTCAGAGCGACTCCACACTCACCTCACCTCTCCGAGGTAGCGGCGCCACTCCTGTCAGACGGAATCCGACAGCCCCGACTTCCGCTTCCGGCGAGCTCCGCGCAGGCGCGCCTGTCAAGTCTCGCGATAGGTGGGGCTCGGCGTGTGGCGGTTTGCACAGTTGAGCCGTCGGCGGAGCAAACCGCTGATCGCGGTTCTTTTGCAATGATGGGACCTGTGCGCTCGGTGCCTGCCGGGCGCCCCTGCAGCAAAAGACGTCGCCGGGTATTAAGTCCCCGACTGGGAGCCGGTGGCGGGTAGGGGCGGAGGTTGGGAACTCTGCAGAGAAGGGAGGGAAAGGCTGCTTCCGGCAGGACGCCAGGCTGAGCGGGTGGCTTCAGGGACGCGGTGCTTTCACCTCCTGCCAGGTTGGGTCTCGGCCGTAAGAGTTCATAGTCCCTTTCGTAGGTGTTTTTTCCCAAACACCCTATCTCCACCCTCTTCAGCCTAATTCGTCAGAACCCAGCAGCCTCCAAGGGGCTTGGTCAATTTTTTATCCAATGTTCTGCAGGTGTATGTATACACGCTGAATACCCCAAACGTGATTTAGCCTCTTTAAAAAATAAAAATAAAAAAATATATATACCCCTAACCGGTTTGGCTCAGTGGATAGAGCGTCGACCTGCGGACTGAAGGGTCCCAGGTTCGATTCCCGTCAAGGGCATGTGCCTTGGTTAACGGAAAGGGAGAAGAGAGAGACAGAAACGTTGATCGGCTGCCTCCTGCACGCCCCCTACTGGGGATCGAGCCCGCAACCCGGACATGGAACGGATTGCCCTTGGCCGGAATGGAACCCAGGACCCTTCAGTCTGCAGGCCCACGATTTATCCACTGAGCCACACCAGCGAGGGCATGACTTGGCCTCTTACCTCCCGAATGGCTGTCCAGACTGTGCACCCGTTTTGTTAATACTAGCACCAGTTTCCAGCGTGGATACATGAATGTCAGTACCCGCTGCCATTTATTTCCTTTCTTGCGCCCGTCAGTGACTAAATTCTGTCGGTTCTGCCCCAGCAGTAGTTCTCACATTCATCCACGTTACCCACTGCTTCCCCCTAATCCAGTGGTTCTCAACCTTCTGGCCCTTTAAATACAGTTCCTCATGTTGTGACCCCACCATAAAATTGTTTTCGTGGCTACTTCGTAACTGTCACGTTGCTACTGTGATGAATCGTCATATAAATATCTGATAGGCAGGATGGTCTTAGGCGACCCCTGTGAAAGGGTCTTTCGACCGCCAAAGGGGTCGCGGCCCACAGGTTGAGAACCGCTACCAGAGTTCCCGTCGTCATCCCCTGAACAGTGGAAATGCAGCACCTCAGCGAGGCCCTTCCTCCAGCCCAGGCCCTACCAGCTCATCTCGCCTGCAGCTGCCGTGGTTTAATCAAGCACAGCTCTGATCCCAAATCATCGGCTCCCTGTTGTCCATAGATTAAAGGCCAAAGTTATTACCTTGGATGCAAAACTTTATTTCCTGCTGTTCCCCTTTCATTCTCCCTTTGCCCATAACACCGATACTTCACCCGTTCAGTTCTTAAACCACTTTATAACCTAAAGCTGAAATTATTTACATACAAGTCTTCCCCTCCCTTTATTAGACTTTATTTTTTTTTAAATATATTTTTATTGATTTTTTACAGAGAGGAAGGGAGAGGAACAGAGAGTCAGAAACATCGATGAGAGAGAAACATCGACCAGCTGCCTCCTGCACACCTCCCACTGGGGATGTGCCTGCAACCAAGGTATATGCCCTTGACCAGAATCGAACCCGGGACCCTTCAGTCCGCAGGCTGACGCTCTATCCACTGAGCCAAACCGGTTTTGGCAATTAGACTTTAAACAGACTTCTGTTGGATTCATTTCTGGATCCTGCAGCGTGTGACATTGTGCTTTGTGTAAAGGAAGCACTCAGTAAATGTTATAGAAACATTAACCTAGCAACAGTGTACAGGATCGTACGGACGGGCAGATAGGGTAGTCTTGATGCTGGGTAGTAAAGAGGAGAGCGGGAAGACCAAGGTCACAATAATTGGATAGTATTATCCTTAGTCACAGAGGAGACCATGGGAGAAAAGGATTAGGAGGAATCAGGGAAGATCCCCAGTTCCTTAAGGCTGGGAAGTTGGGACTGAGGGTAAGTTGGTTTTAAAGCAAAAATGAGCTCAGAGCTCCAAAAGATTTGTACCATTTGAGATGGTAGTGAACTGTCCAAAAGAAAAATCTTAGGGAGTTGTTAGAAATACAGAACTGGCCCGGCTGGCATGGCTCAGTGGTTGAGCGTGGACCTATGAACCAGGAGGTCATGGTTCGATTCCCGGGTCAGGGCACATGCCCAGGTTGCGGGCTCCATCCCCGGTAGGGGGCGTGCAGGAGGCAGCTGATCAATGATTCTCTCATCATTGATGTTTCTATCCCTCTCCCTTTCTGAAATCAATAAAAATATGTATTAAAAAAAGAAATATAGAACTGAAGCTGAAGAAAGAAAGGTTGTAAATGTATGAGTCATCCATGAGACAAAAGGGTTGAAATCTGTGTTATGATCTTTCCCACAGGAGAACTATTTTTTTAAAATATATTTTATTGATTTTTTACAGAGAGAAAGGGAGAGAGATAGTTAGAAACATCGTTGAGAGAGAAACATCCATCAGCTGCCTCCTGCACATCTCCCACTGAGGATGTGCCCGCAACCCAGGTACATGCCCTTGACCGGAATCGAACCCGGAACCTTTCAGTCCGCAGGCCGACGCTCTATCCACTGAGCCAAACCGGTTTCGGCAGGAGAAGTATTTATAGAGAAAAGCAGAAGGCCAAGGCCTACGCCTCAGGAAATGTTCATATTTAAGAGGCAGGAATAGGAAATGTAAACTTGAAGAGAAAATTGGAATAAATGTGTGGGTAGTAATGTAGCAATGGAGAAACTCAGGAAAATGCTTCCCAGCCTGGTATCAGGAGTCAGGTATCAGGAAAAAGAGAGTGACTGAAGGCCACTGATGGCATTATTTCTAGGTAATTGGGACTTACACAGAAAAGTGTGTATTTCTTTTCTTTTAATTCATAAATGGCACTTGGGAGCTTGGCTTCTGGGAGTTTCTGTGAAAAATTCTAGGTACTCCAGCCAATTTTCAAATGAAACTATTTTTGTCCATAATGTTCTCTCATCTTATGGTATTTTATCAGTTATTCCATCTCATTTTCTGAGAGATAATCTGTTCCACGAATAGAAATTTTCCAGATAAGTGACTCTCAGCCTTTAAACATCAAAAACATTTTCATTGGAACCATTTTTTTAAA